ATATTTTATTTTTATCACAAATCAGTAGAGATCATTCAAAAAATGTTACATAGAAAAATGTTCAATTACAAAAATATTACGTTTTTCATGAAACAAATATAACATGCATACATTATAATATTTATTATTACAAAATAGTTAATGTTTTATTATATTTAGTTTATCGTTAATATTTGTTAGTTTTTTTTTATTACTTTATTTTTTATTTTTTTTTTTTTACTTTTTAGATTCATTTTACATTATTTGCTCCTCTTGCATTCCGAGAAATTATACCATTGGCAAGTATTCCTCCTATATCAGGATTCTGTCTTGTCCTTACATATTAAGTCATCTTTGAGGTGTTGCAATTCTCGTCGGTTGTTCAGGTGTACTGGTTCGTCTAGTCTTCTTCATGTTTCTGTGATAGTTGATATTGGTCCATTTGTTGTTGAATTGTAATCAGTTGTAATATTGCTTGCTGACATGCCAGACGTAGCCATGTCATAAATATCATTTGGAGTAAAGCTTTGGTCAGTTGTATTCCTCAATGTCGTCAATTATTTTTTTCATCATAAGTTAATGACAATTATATGCATAATGTCATTCTGTATGTTCGTAATTCATGTCTTCTGTATCTTCTGTGAGGTCTACCAACTCAACTGTTGTAGAAGACACTACATTCTCGCTTATCATATCGTCGTCGCTAGTTATATCTATTACTTCAATACTTTCTGGACTTGATGCTTCGTTCTCGTACATCTCCTCATCATCAGAATCCAAAACTATTTCATTCGGATCACCCACATCGTTGATCATCATGTTAGGATCCTCTTCATATCTTATTTCATCAGGTGCATAAGCATTTTCATGAAAAATTCTTATATTTTGGTGACCCTCTTCATATCTTATTTCATCAGGTGCATTTTCGTAAGCATTTCTAAAATTCATGATGTTTGGGTTACCCTCTTCATTTCTTATTTCATCAGGTGCATAAGCATTTTCATTAAAAAATCTTATATTTTGGTGACCCTCTTCATATCTTATTTCATTGATTCGTTGATTAGGTTGATTAGGCAATAGACCGTCAATCATTTGTGGATAAATTTGGTGGTCTACCGGTTGTGCATAAATTTGGTGGTCTACCGGTTGTGCATAAATTTGGTGGTCTACCGGTTGTGCATAAATTTGGTGGTCTACCGGTTGTGGGTAAGGAATAAGTTCAGGGATTGTATAAGGATTAATGTGTACTGGCGACTGTAAAATACTATCTATGTAATCTCTATAGATWGATGAATAGGTGAAACTGCCATAAGGCGGRTAACACAAATAAATATATCTTACTTCAAAAGATTCGTTATCCATTTTYGTAATAACTTCTTTAACTGATATTTTGAGAAAGTAAAAATGAAATGATGAATTTTACTAATTCATACAATATGAATGTCTTTCAACAAATGTCTCTTGCACTTTTACTAAACTGCAGTGAATATTTTAKTTTATGTTTCAATATRTTGTCACGTCTGATAACTTTTTCTAATATTTTTTCAATATATTTGAAACACTGACTCAACTGAAGCTACTAGAATTTTCCAAGAAACTTTTACCACAGACTGAAGTAACGTTAAAGATACAGGTTCTTGTCTGTTAGGCGTCWATGCTATGACTGTAAGKCTCGTATATATTWTTTGGTTCAGGACCGAAAATTTATTTAAGCGGTAACACGAAATACACTTTTGTCATCTTTCTATTGGTCGCGTTTCAAAGTGACACAGTAAAAACTGCGTTGATTCGTTGATTGAGAAATATGTGTGAGAGAGATGAATGGAGAACAGAGGGGGCTGAGATCTGAGGGAAAAGCGAAGGGTCCTAGATGTTAAGGAAAAAAAGAGGGGGAAAGGGATAAAATGAACATAACCATCTTGTAAGATTTTTCCAAATCTTTTATGCGCATAATTCTATAATATGTATAATTCTAATTCATAATTCTATAATATATATATATATATATATATATATATATATATATATAATATGTAAATGAATTTCTGTCAAATTAATTAAAATGACTGGTCTTATATATCTAATGTTAATTAATTCAGTATTCAAAAGGTTTAATACCCTAGACTTTTTTTTTTAATACACGTTAATTAGAAACTTTTGGATTATTTAAAAATGAAATTTAATTCGTTATAATAAATGAAATACTTTTATTTATATAAAAATGTTTTATTAGATTCAAAACTTGAAGAAGAGAAATAAGGTATATSGCAAGTATATCAGGAAATTGATAAAAGTTTAAAACTTTTACTTATTCAATAAAAATGATCAATTAAATATAACGTTTTTTAAGAAGAAAATAAAAATATATATTTTATAATATTTATTATTTCAAAAGTTAATGTTTATTTATATTGAAACTTATATATATAATTTTTTGGTAAATATAGTATATATTATATAAAGGATTTTTGATTACATTGAGGGTTACTTTTTTTTATTAATTGAAAACAAAATTAAGTTTGGTAAAAAATATATTTTATTTTTATAAAAAATTGTAGCATTCAATTAATCATCGTTATAAATGTATATTTTTGACAATGTTCAAGGGATATGAATATTTTTATTTACATTATACGTTAAAAAAAGAATTGAATTTTTTCTGACAATTAATTAACAATTCAAGTAACTAATAAAAAAAAAATGATTCACTAATTATTTTCTTTTTTTCAAAAATCCACAATTAATTATTTGTCAATCCAATCTAAATACATTTTTTGATGATGTCAATAAAGTTATATAAAAAAATTTGTATATCATCTTAAAAAAGATTTTACGAAAACAAGAATTCTTATATATATAAAAAAAAGTCAATATATCATAATTTGTAAAAAAACAAAAACAAAAACAAAAATTGCAATAGTTAATTATCGTCAAAAGAGTACGTTACTTTCAATTTTGAAATTAAAACCTTCTACAATGTTCGATGAATATTTTCCATGTAAGCTTGTCGGCAACTTTATCTGTGTTAAAAAATGGTATCTTAACTGGTTTCGTTTTCTGGCATTGAGAATCGCGTTGAAAATTACTTTTGAGAATTCATGTAGAAAGTACAGTCAAATTATATATTTTATTATTGTTATTTGTTTTGTGTAATTTCTTGTATATTGTCAGTGTTCAATTGTCAACAGTTTTAATTTTAATCTTTGAACGACTGTTATTATCATCATCATCATCAATTTATTGATGATCATTAGAAGTATTGTTATTATCGTTTTCCTTATCGTGATTGTTTTGCTGATTATTCGAGTAGCTACTATCACTATTGTTTTGTTGAGTTATAAAATTATAATTACTGTTATTTAATTTATTTCTTTGTAGATTGTATGGTTGATATCTGTTATTTTTTCTCGTATTGCATTTTTGTCTATAATTTTGATTATTACTATAATTTGTTCTAGTTGTATTCTGTATAACACCACTATTGCCATTTTCTCGTTCCATGGTGTTGTTGTTTTCTCTTATATAATCATCAGGGTCCTGTTGTTCTGCCATAAACACTCGTCTATGTTCAAATTTTAATTTTTCATTAGGTGATTGCATTTGTTTCTTTTGTTCTGGACTATTATTTCGTGTAGTTATAGTTTGTGTGGTTTTTGTCGTTTGTTGAGTAGTAACTGTTTGTTGAACAGTTGTTGTTTGTTGGCACGATTTAAAATAATTCAAAATTATCTCACATAGTTCTTGACATTGTTGATAATCTTTTGTAATTATCCCCGACGACGTTGATGATGGCACATTAACAATATTTACATGAGAATTTTGAGCAGTTATAATATTGCCAGTAGTTAAATTTGATTGTGCTGGCATATTATGAATAATATTTTGCGAATAGTTTTTTGTTATTACAATATTTCCTATAGATGATGATCCCGATTTTGAAGTAACATTATGAACAATATTTTCCGTATAGTTTTGGCTTATTACAATATTTCCTATGGAAAATACCGAAGTTGAAGGCATATCATGAGCAAATTTTGGAGACATGAATTTGTCATCTTCGTCCATCTTCATATGTTCATAAACATTCTGTACAGGTAGATAATTAACGGGGCCTAGAACTTCATTAGCCTCATTTGGATGTTGGAATTTTGTGTCGTTTGATGGAACAGGTGCTCCTGTAAAGTATCCTTCTTCGTTTTTGCTTGGTATTGAATTAATCTGAACATCAATTGTTTCACCAAATCCCAAATCCACTTGTTTTTTTTCTCTAGGCGTTACATTAGCAATTTCTAAAGGTGATCGTTTATTTTCCCGTGATTGTGAAGTCGATGGTTCATTTTTAATAATTACATTTGTTACTTCATTAGATGAATGAGAAGTAGATTGTTGTTTTCTTCTCCAATATGGTACTTCATTTATATATGGAATATTAGGTATATAATTAACTATACGTGAAGTAGATCGTTGATGCCACCATTCCTCCTCATTCAGATCAGGTATATTAGGCATATAATTATCTATTCGTGAAGTAGATGGTTGCCTCCAATAGTCATAGACGTTTGGTATATAATTCCTATCCATACTTGTTCTTGTATAAGCTGATGGATTCCTCCTTGTAATTCTATTTAAATATTGCGGATCAGGCATTTGTGGCATCAAATGTTGATAAGAATTGTGATGTCGCATTTGTGGGATCGATGGTTCATAATCAATTTGATTTCTATCTAATTGCAAATTCATCTGTTGATGTCTCGATGGTACGTGATTCATAATTTCCGTATGAGACTGTCTGTTGATCCATGTTCTATTTGATTGATTACGTCTTCCTTTACGTTTATTATTCACTCGATGTTTGTTGTTCATCTTTGCGATAATTTCTTAATTTCACTAATTAATGTAGCACAACAACAAGTCTCGTACACTTTCAATTTATTCGTCACTTTTGATAAAATTTAACAATTAATGTTTCAATAGATTTGAAACATCTGACTCAACTGAAGCTACTAGAATATTACAAACAAACTTTTACGATACACTGAATTAACGTCAAAGATAAAAGTTCGTTTATGTCAAACGTCTTCAATAAGACTATAGATATTTAATATTTCGTAAGTCCCAAGAAGATCTTAATTAAACGACGCGCTTGCGCATAATACAATTCTATTGTCTTTCTATTGGTTCATTTTGTAAGATAATCTTAATTACCTTACGGCAATTTTCAAAATTCGGTGATAAGGGGAACTGAAAGGTAAGAGGGGTGGGGGGTAGATGGGGAGAGTTAGAAAAAAAAATGTTTATCAAGACTTTTCTGATCTTTTATGTGTATAGTTCTACGTAGTTTAGAATATTGGACAAAAATATTGATGAAACATTGAGAATTAAAGACGTTTACAATTGTTTATAATTAAATATTTAAATTATTATTAAACATTGACATATTAAGCTTCAAATGCAAAGTAATTTGATGGTTGTATTTTAAACAGGGAAATAGAAATGTAAATTAATAAGAGAATGTCATTTTTGATGCTTAGAGAAAAAACTTTTATTATTATATTATAAACTTATATATATATATATATATATATATATAATATCATATATTTATGTGATAAGAATATATATTAATAAATTAATTTTATTTACAATATTATTATTAGTAGTACATATAGTATATATGATTATTATTATTATTATTAATTTAAAAAATACTATATATATGATGAAATAGTAAAGCCTAAACAAACCAAAAGTGAAGGGCGTAGTAACATATTTCCTCCATTCCCAGTAGATCCCTCCTCCTGCCTGCCCGAATAGCGTCACGAAACGTCCATAGGGTGGTCGTGCACAAGGCTCACATCATGGCAGCTGAACGTTAAAATGAAATGGTCGACAGACATAAAATACTAATATACATATAAAATGTAATATTTAAATGAATTTAACGTTTCATTTAACAAAACTTATTAAACTAATCAATGTATTATTTTATTTGAAAAAAAAAAAAAGAAAAAAAAATAAATCTTGAATATGAAAAAATTTTAGAAAGTATTTCGTGTATCTAGGGTTTAGAATTTCATTGAGATAAATCTTTAGAAAAGAGAAAGTTTTATTGCATTGAAGGTTTTGAAAACATTTTAAAATCTAATAGTTCTGAAATAAAATTGTATTAGAAAATATTTAATGTTCCCAACTTTTGATGAAAAAAAGGTTTATCCATTGTGTTAAGATGAAAAGGATTTTTTTTCGTCAAATATCTTTTGTAGTTAATATTTCTCTTCCTTCCCCCTTGCCCATAAACAAACGGACCCCCTGGAGCTGGAAACTGTATTAAAAGAAGGTAAAAAAATATTTTAAATTCAAGGCCAAATTGGTCCATTGTAGAAATAAATTCTTTGAGATATTTGCCGACGTTGTTATTCTCACGAATGATATTTTTTTTTTTCTTTTCTCAAATGTAGAATAATAAAAATGTAATTGGATACAATGATAATATGAAGGGCGCGCAGATCCATCAAATCTTGACTGGGGTTTATTCAAAAGAAGATGAAAAAAAAAAAAAACCGAAAAAAAGAAAAGGAAAATTTTCTTGGAATTACAACAGATCTTTTGATGATTCCGAATCATCTCCGAGTTTTTCTCTTTGACTTAAACATGATCCAGCACGTACTTTTCCATTCTTCTCCCTTACATATTTCTACAGAGGATTTCTACGACGTTTAAAATTGGTTTCATGGTCAAGAAACAAAATTTTGAACATATAAGGCTGAACAATATTCTTTTGATAAAGATAACAAAATTCTTTTTTGATAATTAACTTGCTTATCACGAATAATATCTTCCTTCATGAGAATATAGATAGAAAAATTGAAATATACAGAAATGATTTCGAAAGGATCTATTTAAATTGATAAAGTTTTATCAAAAGAAAAAAAAAGGTTGAGTTAATATTCCGTCGGACTATTACAGCATCTTTTGATTGAACGCAACATGAATTTAGATTTGATAAATTCTAAATATCTTTTTTTAATAACCAAAAGAAAAAGATGAGATAACATTCAACCGATTCCCAAGTTACAGAATATTTTTTTTTTTTCATTCAATATCATTTTACATCATTCGGCGTTTTCTTTTGCAATGGAATTACTACCTGTACCTGTAATTTTACGACATTTACATTCGTGAACGACGCGTCTTTTGATTTGATACAAAAGGGGTTGAGATTAGATAAATTTTAAATATCTTTTTAATGACCAAAAAGAAAAAAATTAACATTCAACCGTTTTGATAATTACAGAAGAATTTTAACCGATTTCCAAAAGGAGGAGGAGGAGGAGGAGGTTCTCAATTCGGATGTTTGTATTTTTTTTCTTCTTTATATGTATGTTCGAGAATAACTTGGTCATATAAAAGGTTTATTTCGAAATGATCCCATTTAAAATTCATATAAATCTGATGATGAGTTTCGGAGACAGATAATGAAAATCTTCAAAAAATGACAGCAAATCAACCGCAATTTCTGCTATCGCATAAATATACATTGTTTATGCAATCACACAACATTACGTAACACGTGTACACTCGAAAGGTTTATACAGATTTATTCAGAATATCAGAATACACCCAGATTTTCATGATTCAATATTTTACATCTTTAAACTTGATATTTCTCAATAGAATTTAGTGACTGTAATATTACAATATTTACGTACGTATGTACGTGCGTACGTGTATGCGTGCATGAACCTGTTGCATGTTTGAATGAGTAAACAAGTAAACAAACAAAAGAAATGAATGTAGGAAAAAAGGAAAGAGTATTTTGAATACTTTGAACCCGTTTTTAGAATAACTAACGAGAGTTTATTCCCAAATATATATTAGGTGATTGGGAAAGTCGAAAGTCGAAAGTTTCGTTTCGTTTTTCTTTTGTAAAAATGAAGACAACAATTATTGCTTGGAGATTAAACGTAAATCTTTGAAGTGGTCATAAATAATTGAATTTGATAAATTGAATTAACCTGTCGATCGATCTCAGGTGTTACTATTTGTCGGTTTGCATCAATTAATGCAACCATTATTGTGTCAACAAAAAATGAAAGGACTTTTCGAATCACCTAATACATTGATTAGTAAACTACATTGAAATTGTTACTTGTTTTGTTTGTTATTACATCATATTATGTATATATATATATATATACACATATGATATGTGTAGATGATGAAGAAGTTAGAAAATTCGATGATTTTTCAATAACATCGAATGTGAATTTTCGTAGGGAAAATTCCATAGACGAGCTCATCAGTCAGTCCGTTTTAGGTCATTAGCATTCACTGCATAATTTAACTGCATCGTGGGTGGTATTCACCCACATACGGTCCGATAAGCCAAATAACGATCCGCGAACATTTCCTATGATCACGACGAGAACTATGACGACGAAAACTATGACGACGAAAACTATGACGATGAAAACTATGACGACGTGAACGATGTACTTTTTAACGAGCCTTCGGTAATACTTGAAAAAAAAAAAAAAGAAAAAGAAGAAAAGAAAAAGAAAAAGAAATGTTCAATAAAATGTCAGGTAAAGTAGAATATTGAAGAACAAAAAGAAAAAAATAATATAATTTTAATAAATAATATTATTTTAAGTAATAACAAAAAAAAATGTGTAGACTGTGAGGTAAAATGGGATATTAAAAAAAAAACAAGAAAAAAAATGGTATTTAGAATTTTCCTCAATTTAAATATTTCCCTGTGATGTTTCTTTATAAAATTCGTTATAAACTAAAACAAAAAAAAAAATAAAAAAAATAAAAGGTTTGAATTAAAAAATAAGAAAGAACATGATCAAATCCGGCATCGCAAAAAAGTTCAACGTTAATTCTCTCGTCTTGTTTGATTTCCTTTTTTTTCTTTTTCTTTTTCTTTTCTCCCTGGTCTTCTTCTCCATACCTGTTTGAACTTTTCCTTTACTTGAAATAGTATTTTAAAACAATGTGTGTGTGTGTGTATGTCTGCCTGCCTGCGTGTGTGTGTATATATTTTCTAGTGTATATATGTATGTGTATGTGTATGTGTATGAGATAGAGAAAGAAATAAATAGATTGATAGATAGATAGATAGAATAGAGATAGTCCAATTGAGTTAAGGCTTTACCTTTCAATTTCCTTCTTTAACAACTTTTCGTGGTTGGTTGCCACGATAAGCGTTTCTAGCTCAAGTAAACTTCCTTTTCGATATATCGTTTCTTAGTCGATTTGTCGATATAACTAACCGTAAGATCCTTCTTCATTATCTTTTCTTTTTATTACATTTTTTTTCTTTTTCTTTTTCTTTCTTTTTTTTAATCGATATTTTATTTCAAATAAAATAAAAACGAGATTAAAAGAAAGAAAGAAAGAAAGAAAGAATGAAAGAATGAAAGAAATATTTTATTAACAGTTGTCTGAAAGATTGTTGACAATTTTTGAAATAAATTGTACCACGTTGTCATGTACATATATATATTTATTTTTATTATATTTTAAAAAATTTTTTTTTTTTATTAAAAATTAAACAAACTTCTATCTATCTGTTTTCATTCTTTTTACTGTTCCATTTATTTTTGAAGATAGTTACATTGAAAAAAATGTGACAAGAGTAGCATTTTTGTTTTATAATTGCAATAATTCTCGTTATCAATTGTTCCTTAATTTAGGAGAATTTCAATCCACCGATGAATGATTATAAACGTGATAACAATGAATCAGAAATCGTTTTGCAACGCGTGAATAATTGAAATTGTGTGGTGTACGTTATAATCTAAATCTAAATTAATAGGTCATATTGTCCAGACGATAATAGTCATTATGATAACGTA